GATAAAAATCCTGAATTAGGGACACAGAAAAAAGCTGGTGTTATTTTTGTTGCGGGTAAATTTCTCCAATGCTAAAACCCATAAGATTTAACCCAGATTTAGAGTAAAATTTGTTGCGTGTTATTTTAACACCAATTCTGGTGTTAAAATAACACTTAGTTTTTCCTGTCGACAAAGATAATTTTTTGCCGAAACACTAAGATATTGTATTTCCATGTACATTGTACTTTTTTCCACTGAATTCGAATTCGAAGTCAGAATTGAGAGATAAGCTTAAATTTTGGAGATAATGCCAAAAAACTGATTTTGAATTTTTTTGAATTTTTGTTTATTGAGTTTTTTGCAATTATCTCAAAACATTTCAGCAAATCTAACAATTCTAACTTTGGATTCGGAATCAGTGACTAAAAATACATTGAATTACACTATCGCAGTGTCATACAAAAATTTTTTCACTTTTTGATTTTTTTTCTTTTTTAAGCAGTTTTTTGAGTTTATCTTAAAAATAAGAACCAACTTTTAAATTCTGACCCCGGATTCGGATTCAGTGACCCAAAATACGTAAGAATGACTAGTCTATTTTGCCGGACAAAATTTTTTTTGTGGGGGTTTGTTAATTAAGTGAATAAATGAAAATAATAGATAAAATATGTTTTCAAAGTTGGTCAGTGAAAGTAAGTAAGTTTAAACAGAACACAAAAAAGACACAAAAATTAGATCTATAAGGTGCTAAATATCTTGCGGTTACTTTAACCTAGCGCATTAACATTTATGTAAAACTGTGAAAAATATCCGGTTATCTATATATATTTCGGTGGTGGGGATAAATCACTCTGTTTTCTTAATTTCTAGTTTTTTTATTTATATAGTTTATTTTTATTTTTATTTAGATATTTATTTTTATCTAGTTTTTTTATTTTCTTCTAATTTCTAGAAAATTTTAAAATCTTTAAGTTTTTTATTAATATTTATTTAGGCATATTTGAAATTTAAAGAACTGATTTAATACCAATTTTTCACAGTTTTTCATAAATTTAAATGGGTTAAAGTAACTGCAAGATATTCAGCACTTTATAGATCCAATTTTTGTGTGCTATTTAAAATTACTTAAAACCATATACAGGTTTTGAACTCATTAGTCAGCAAAAAAGTAACAAAAAGTTGTCTAAATAGTGAAAAAGTAGCCAAAAAGTAGCCAACCATCAAAAAAGTAGCAAATAGTAGCTTTTAGTCGAAGAGTGCGAAGCCTGGGCTTATTCTTGATAGATGCTGGTTGCGTTGGCTTCGATCCTTTTATTCGTTCTACGCGTAGTTCGTTAATTCGTTCGAATTCGACAATATCCCACAGAAGTTTGTCGACGTTATCATGTTGTCGTGAAGACATCGCTAAGCAAGTGTCCTTGGACCATAGTCCAATGAGTACCTGTTGTTTGGTGTCTTTAAGTGATAAACCAAGTTGAACGCACAATTTAACTTTGGCGTAAAAATAGGTGCTCAATTTTTCGTTTTTATCTTGTACGCGATTTTTCATACGTTCCCATTTGTCGGATTTTGTTTCCTCTATAACGTACGAAGTCCAAAAAGCTGTACGAAATGTATTCCAATCAACAAATTCCCTTCTACGAAGAGTATACCAGTCTTTTGCGCCCTCGGTGAGATGAATCTTGACAGTTTCTAATGCGAAGCTGTCTGGCCACTGATGTAGCGTTTTCATCGAATCGAGTGATTCTATCCACTCGCGTGCTTTCGAAGTCTGTAGTTCTCCGTCAAACGTCGAGATACCCTTCGACAAATCGGGCATAATGTGGTAACTGGGAACATTTTGTGAAGTAGAGGCTTGAGGTTGTGGCTGAGGAGCACCAAGATTTAAATTTTGAAGAACGTTCAACATTGCTGTTTCTCGACGACGTCCGTCTTCTAGCATCGTTAGCATTATCTGTTCGAGGTTTGATAGAGTTGGTTGCTCAGTGGATGTGTGAGGTCTCTGTCCATGATTGGGATTAATCAGAGGTTGTGTTGGTGGGAGACTATAGAGGTCTTGTCGTAGTTGTAGATTGGCTGGATTTTGTCGGTTTGCGTCGTTGTCAAGTCCCGCTTGTAAATCGAGCATGCGTCGAACGTGTGCTTGATGATTTTGGGGATCACGTGATTCCTGTGAGCCGGGAAGATTGTCGTTGTTTCTGTTTCGTCCCCAATTTCCTCGTCCTCTCGACCATCTTGGAATATTATTAAGATTATCATCTTGATGCTGAATATTTTGTTGAGGTGTGGAATCAGTGGTTTGTTGCTGATGCATGAAGTTCTCAAACTCTGAGTTTGACACACTTTGTTCCTGATTTGACGCCATGAGTACTTATAGTAAATTCACTCGAAGAATTTGTATGAATATTCAACCGACGCGACGCCATCATTAAATCGACGCCATGTTAGAAAACTTTGTCGCACAATGAACAAAATCTCTTTTCACACTATAATTGTCTCGAAAATTTCGGTTTTTACACAACACGAAACTTACTCACAGCACTTTAGGATATTCAATCCCACTTCTGAATGTTAGAAAGGTGAAACTAGTTATTATTTTAGGATCGAATAGATTGATCGTGAGTCGAATCAACGATACTGTTTAGTGGGAAAAGTTAAATAAATCGCACTATCACAGAGTTTAATAATAATGAACTGTATTTATTGAATGTAACACTTATAACTAAACGTATTTATATAATATCTAATAACGCACTTCAATATATTCGCATAAACTTGGATTACTTATATTTTAAGAATCGCACTTAATCGTAAGACGCTCAAAACTTCACTAACTCTTATATCCGTTCGCACACCTTATCGCTCTTCCGATCGCCTTCGGTAGTCTTCGCTCTAATACATTCGTAATGATAATATTTCGCTATCAATACCTATTGGACTTTGGCTCCGCGTTGAATTTGTTGAACTTGACGATTCCGTTGAATATCTTCTATTTTTCTTCTTGTGGCGATCTACTTTTCTCTTCAATTTTTTTATTTTCTTCTCAATTTTTCTTGAATATTCGTCACTACTCGAATAATAATTTCTCTTACCCATTTTTAAGTGTATTGTATGGCACAAAGAAAAGGAATGAAATAAATGAAACAAGAAGACCTGAAAATAAATGAAGATCCGCAAGGCGCGCAATTGCAAATTTTTTGCAATTATTCTTTAAAAATGTGATAAATTTGGCACGAGGGACGGGGTACTACGAGTTGATCTTGAGAAGGAGGCGCAAAATACAATTCAGCGAGAACTTTAAATTCGACCAATTAGAAATTATCAAGAAAAATGTGAATGCCCTATTGAAAAAAAACACGTATAATTATACGTATAATAATACGTATAATTGTACGTATAATTATACGTATAATTGTACGTATAATTATACGTATTATTATACGTATAATTATACGTATTATTATACGTATAATTATACGTATAATAAGACATACGAATTTGAAACAAGAATTATACGTATAATTATACGTATAATAATACGTATAATTAATTATACGTATAATAATACGTATAATAATACGTATAATTATACGTATTATTATACGTATAATTATAATTCTATTAAAAATAGAATAATAGAATAGAATAATTAGTAGCAAAATTGCGCTGAAAATTTTTAGAAATTTTAAAATGCAAATTAAATTTCACGAAAAAAAATATCGTCGAATGTCAATTCAAGCAGTCACCCATCCAAGTACTAACCGCGTCCAACGTTGCTTAACTTCCGTGATCTGATGAGAACTTGTTCCTTCGCCTTGGTGTTTCCGCTGTCTTGTCTTGATTAATAACTTTGTCGTATAAGTATTGTATCGCACCTAACCTCACTTTTAGTGATACTTATACGACAAAGTTATTAATCAAGACAAGACAGCGGAAACACCAAGGCGAAGGAACAAGTTCTCATCAGATCACGGAAGTTAAGCAACGTTGGACGCGGTTAGTACTTGGATGGGTGACTGCTTGAATTGACATTCGACGATATTTTTTTTCGTGAAATTTAATTTGCATTTTAAAATTTCTAAAAATTTTCAGCGCAATTTTGCTACTAATTATTCTATTCTATTATTCTATTTTTAATAGAATTATAATTATACGTATAATAATACGTATAATTATACGTATTATTATACGTATTATTATACGTATAATTAATTATACGTATTAATATACGTATAATTATACGTATAATTCTTGTTTCAAATTCGTATGTCTTATTATACGTATAATTAAACGTATAATAATACATATAATTATACGTATAATAATACGTATAATTATGCGTATAATTATGCGTATTATTATGCGTATTATTATACGTATAATTATACGTATTATTATACGTACAATTATACGTGTTTTTTTTCAATAGGGTGTTCAAATTTAAAGTTCGCACAGAAATATTTTTGACAAATTAATTTTCGACCATTTTTATTTTTTGAAACTTTAATATTCGAATAAATTAATATTCTTTCTAATTTTTTGTCTGCAAAATTAACATTCTACAGAAGAAAATTATATCTTAGAATTCGAATCACTTAACCCTACAATATACCTCATTTTTTGTTAAAATGGGAAATTCATGTACCTCAATTATTCTAGTAAAATTCTATAGACATTTTTTTATTAGTTTAAAATGTTATTTAAATTAATTATTTTGTATTTAAATTTATTTGTTATTATATAAAGCTAAAAAAAGTTAGTCATGAGCTTTGAAAACGACAAGGAAGTTCACAACGTTTATAATCAAAGATTTTCAAAGAAATATTTTGTGGATGGAAAATTATATAAATTTTGCTCTTTAATGTATTTTCAGCAATGTTTATTGATCAACAAATTATTAAAAAAGACCTTTTCTTAAGATACATAATTTTATTATTTTCGTCTTTAAAAAATGTTTTTTATACGTTAATAATTAACTTTATAGACGTTATATTTATTTTAAAAATTTCAATACTTACTCCATACAATAAAGCAGACCTCCATTGGGACCAAATTTTAATTCAGAATCTTCCATTGTATCATCTACATGAATCAATTCTCTAATGTCTACAAAAGGAGTATATTCGAAGTAATCAGCTGCAGGATCTAAGTTAACTATTTCAATTATCTTATTATCATCTGCTGCTTGTCGTTGTAAAACAGAACAAAATGTTGACTGCAATAAAAAAAGAATACAATTAATATGGACTTGAATCTCGTTATAACGACGAGCTCGGGACTTCAAAAATTTCGATATTACGAACCATCAACATTACAAAATGTTGTACATCACCGATTTCGCTCATCTTGTGATATGTTGTAGTTCTTTAAAAAATATTTGACATGTATATTTTTATAAGTGCCCTATCGCATATATAAGGGGTGAAAACAGTCCCTAAAGTTCACTCCCAAAAATCGTTTTTTGCGATTTTTAAGCAAACCAATAGGAATTTTTTTCTATTTTCAATTGCATATTGTAGGGCTCTCAAAAACACTCCCAGACATTATGTCAGACCCGATAGGGGGTGGCGTTATTAGTGTGATATGAGGGTAAAACTTGTTTTTTGAAATAACTTTTCAGTTTAAAAATGTACAATGTATAATTATTTTGTCAAATATTCACTGAAAAAAATTAATTAACTAAATGGCGTAATTAGTTACTTAATTTTTTTACTTGCTTAAGTTAAGCCATGATTGCCAGATTAAAAATTTTTTTTTGAAGGTTGACAATTTTTTTCCACATAGTTACATATAAGTACAAAAGATTTGTGCGGTTTTTGAATTTTTAAATCATTAAGCAGATGCCATAACATTTAATTTACCAAAACGTAGAAAAAATCCATGTAAATTTAATGCGTTTATTTATTAGTTTCATTAATGCAAATAACTAATTATAGAATACAGATGATTATAATAATTATATTATTACAGTTAAATTGTAACATTAATAATTTTTTTGTTATACAAGAGTTGATTTTAAAATTTCAAATACTAAAGTTTAACCTATCAAATGGTAACTCTACCTTTCCACAACCAGCAGGTCCTATGACAATTTGCCCATATCTCATTTTAAAAAATTAGTGTTCTTCTATATATAAGTTAATTGTATAAATAATACTTTTAATTAAAAAACGACTACTGAATTGATTTATAACCATCACGGTAGTACAAACATGTGATAAACATAAACAATATGCAGAATATTAGCCGCAGGGTTAAGGCAAACGCACAAGACGATTTGCAAAGGAGTCGCATGAAAATCCCCTAAACTTCATATGACAGAAATGCCATTTGACAGAAATTTATATAACAGAAATTTCATTGGACAGAATATTTACATGACAGACGATTCATATAACAGACTTTTCATTGGACAGACGTTTGATTGGACAGAATTTTTATCGAACAGAAATGTTACTTAACAGAAATTTTATCTGATAGAATTTTCATTCAACAGAAGATAAGTATAGCAGAACTCTCATTGGACAGAATATTTACACGGCAGACGATTCATATAACAGACTTTTCATTTGACAGACGTTTGATTGGACAGAATTTTTATCTAACAGAAATGTCACTTAACAGAAATTTTATCTGACAGAATTTCCATTCAACAGAACATAAGTATAGCAGAACTCTCATTGAATAGAATTTTTACACGGCAGACGATTCATATAACAGACTTTTCATTTGACAGACGTTTGATTGGACAGAATTTTTATCTAACAGAAATGTCACTTAACAGAAATTTTATCTGACAGAATTTCCATTCAACAGAACATAAGTATAGCAGAACTCTCATTGGATAGAATATTTACACGGCAGACGATTCATATAACAGACTTTTCATTTGACAGACGTTTGATTGGACAGAATTTTTATCTAACAGAAATGTTACTTAACAGAAATTTTATCTGACAGAATTTCCATTCAACAGAACATAAGTATAGCAGAACTCTCATTGGATAGAATATTTACACGGCAGACGATTCATATAACAGACTTTTCATTTGACAGACGTTTGATTGGACAGAATTTTTATCTAACAGAAATGTCACTTAACAGAAATTTTATCTGACAGAATTTCCATTCAACAGAACATAAGTATAGCAGAACTCTCATTGGTCATAATTTAACTTTTGCATCATACATTCTCATCCCTGCTATATTTTTAACTTGTCGGTAAAGTAGATGTAGAGGTCAGTAGTTGCTATTTCTTTCTCGCGCCAAAGTTTGAATATTAAATAATAAAATTAATATTTCATTTCATTATTATTGATAATAAATGATAATTATAAATAAATAAAATATAGTGAATAAATGTTTTAAATTATATTTCTATTTGAAGGTTATTAAATGTATTATAATATTATTTTTTGAAATAAATTATTATTACGATTATTTTTCCAGAAACATCGTGATGAATTAAAAAAAAGGATTTATAAATAGAAAAAATATCATTATTATTATATATTATTTTATTATTAAATAAATCCTTCAATTAAAAATCTAAAAAAAAATTTAAGTATTACAATTGTTTAATATTAAAATTTTTTTAATTAAATAATTTTTATAAAAAAAATTATAGATAAAGTTATTTATTTTTATTAATTGTTGTAAATTAAGTGCTTGCAAATTTATTTGAAAAAAATTTATTAACAAAAATATAAACATATTTATATTCAAATTGTTTTAATGAAATAATTTTTGTAAAAACAAAATATAGATAAAATTATTTATTTTTGTCAATTGTTGTAAATTACTTTAATGCAAATTTATTTTTAAAAATTTATTAATAAAAATGTACATATTTTTTTTATAATAATATAAAAATTGTAATAATACAACTTACCTTTTAAAGATGTGAAATTTCCTAAAATTCAATTATTCCTTATAAATCTTAACTCGAAAACTCAAAATTTAAATATTTCTAAAATCTGTATCTAAAATTTTTTGCTGTATTTACTATCAATAATAATTTTAAATACAATTCTTCAAAAATTTAGTTACTTAAAATATAAATACTGATAATTTATGGTTGTAATTTTTTTTTTAATCATTAATTAATAGTAATGTAAATCAGTAATAAAAAAAAAATTAAACTAATTTAGTCAATAATCAAAATAGAGAAGAAGAATTTTTTTTCAAGAAAATTTAAAACGGATGTTATTTTATGCAATTTTTTCGAGTAAATTAGAACAATAATAATTTATATTAAAGAATATTTAGTTAAATGTAAATTTTTAATAAAAAAAATAAATCCCTAAATAATAAAATAAAAATTCGTTTTTAATTGTTGATCGAGATAAATGTTTATTACATATCAGTAAGAAATAGAGAAATTAAATTAACTTATTCAATAATCAAGATCGAGAAGAAGAATCTTTTTTTCAAGAAAATTTAAGACGGATGTTGTATTATACAATTTTTTCCGAGTAAATTACAACAATAATAATTTATATTAAAGAATAATTTAGTTAAATGTAAATTTTTAATAAGAAAAAGAAAACCTTAAATAATAAAATGAAAATTCGTTTTTAATTGTTGGTCGAGATAAATGTTAATGGTTTATTACATATCAGTAAGAAATAGAGAAATTAAACTATTTTATTCAATAATCAAGATCGAGAAGAAGAATTTTTTTTTCAAGAAAATTTAAAACGGATGTTATTTTATGCAATTTTTTCGAGTAAATTACAACAATAATAATTTATATTAAAGAATATTTAGTTAAATGTAAATTTTTAATAAGAAAAAGAAAACCCTAAATAATAAAAGGAAAATTCGTTTTTAATTGAGGCTCCCGATCTTAAAAGGGGATACGCGGAGGACAGGCGAGAAAAACGTTGGCCCCTGCTGTAGGTAAAATTTTGAAATTGTCCAAAATTAAATTTCAATGATTGTTCCTTATAGAGAATTGAAATGCGCAACTTTTTTTCAGATGAAAAACTTTTCTATAATTTACCGTTTTTTATTTATTCACAAAAAACGTAATTTTTACGAAATAGAAATTTCAATACATTTTTGTGTTCAACTCGCGATTACTTCCTTAAATATGAATATTTCGTCACGAAAATTTTGCACAATATTCTTCAAACTATTCTAAAAGTGAAGGCACATTTGAAAAATTTTCATAAAAATTTTGCAATCTAGTGTTTAATTGTTTAAATAATTTTTCTCGGAAATTGATTCTCTTGCATTCAAATGAAAAAGTTGAGTGAGGAATTTTCGAATTCGGAAAACTTTCAGTGATGAAAATGTTCATTAATATATAAGGAAGTTTTCTGGAAAATATTAGATCTTTAGTTAATGATTTGAAAAAGTTACAACAATATAAACAACGTCACTGAAAGTTTTCCGAATTCGAAAATTTCTCACTCAAATTTTTCATTTGAATGCAAGAGAATAAATTTCCGAGAAAAATTATTTAAACAATTAAACACTAGGTTGAAAAATTTTTTGAAAATTTTTCAAATGTGCCTTCACTTTTAGAATAGTTTGAAGAATATTGTGTAAAATTTTCGTGACGAAATATTCATATTTAAGGAAGTAATCGCGAGTTGAACACAAAAATGTATTGAAATTTCAATTTCGTAATAATTACGTTTTTTGTGAATAAATAAAAAACGGTAAATTATAGAAAAGTTTTTCATCTGAAAAGAAGTTGCGCATTTCAATTCTCTATAAGAAACAATCATTGAAATTTAATTTTGGACAATTTTAAAAATTTTACCTACAGCAGGGGCCAACGTTTTTCTCGCCTGTCCTCCGCGTATCCCCTTTTAAGATCGGGAGGCTCAATTGTTGGTCGAGATAAATGTTAATGGTTTATTAAATATCAGTAAGAAATAGAGAAGTTAAACTAATTTATTCAATAATCAAGATCGAGAAGAAGAATTTTTTTTTCAAGATTAAGTTAAAATAATAATAATTTATTGAAATAGAAACGATCATGAAATGAAAATTTGTTTTTATTTTTAAGTCGAGATCATTAATAATTTAATATATTCTCATAATCATCATGTACTCTATCCTGCACAAGGGGCATACTTGAAGACTACGGTTTTCTATATTGTTTTCTTCATAATCTGTTTTACAGTCATCACAAATACAAACATGTCCACAGGGGACGAAAGTGTGTGTCGATTGATTTACTTTACAAACGCAGCATATGGGACTTCCAATTCTTAAATTTTCTGCTCCTTGATTTATATTTTCCGGTTCGGCATTATTTACATTTTCAGGTGGCACTTGCACGATGTTAATTTCTATAACAAATTTAAGGATTTTCAACCTTTTGACGTAAGTTTGAAATAAATATTTTTCATTTTTATTTTCCTTTGCAGGAATGATTTTGAAGTTATCAAAAACACTAAATGAAAAGGATTTTATTAAAAATTTAATTATTTATTGTAAAATATAAATTTAAAGTATATGAGGTGCTGAAAACTGTCAACTTTTTAGCCATTACAAAATATGCAAATAAAAAACATAGAATTTACCATAAAAAGAAAAAAAAATTATTGGAATTTACTAAGAATGAATAAATTTATATAATTATTTAAAGATGTGAAATAATATATAAAATATTATTTTCAAGTGCACCTGTCAAATAACCTAATTTTGCGATTTTTATTCATTAATTATAAAAAAAAAAGTAAAACATTAAATTAAATAAAAACTTACAAAATATGAAGTTCTTGCCATAAACTTTTATAATTTCTTCGCACTTTTCTTCTTTTTTCTTCATAAGTATAAAACATTTTAAAAATAAAATAGCCACTTTGATCATTTTCACTATTTTTAAAATTTTTTATACATATGAAGAAAAAAGAAGAAAAGTGCAAAGAAATTATAAAAGTTTATGTCAAGAACTTCATATTTGGTAAGGTTTTATTTAATTTAATGTTTTTCTATTTTTTATAATTAATGAATAAAAATCGCAAAATTAGGTTATTTAACAGGTGCACTTGAAAATCATATTTTATATATTATTTCACATCTTTTAATAATTATATAAATTTATAATGATAAATTTATTCATTCTTAGTAAATTCTAATAATTTTTTTTCTTCTTATAGTAAATTCTATGTTTTTTATTTGCATATTTTGTAATGGCTAAAAAGTTGACAGTTTTCAGCACCTCATATACTTTAAATTTATATTTTACAATAAATAATCAAATTTTTAATAAAATCCTTTTCATTTCGTGTTTTTGATAACTTCAAAATCATTCCTGCAAAGTATCATAATTTTAAAAAATTTATTGCATCGATGATGTTTTTTGGTAGGTTTATGGTTTATAGAAATTTTTACAAATTGGGGCGTTCCATTTGATGGAGCACTGACAAAGAAATTGATTTATTTATAATTCGTGATTTTGTTGTGTTTCGGGTGCAAAGTAAGTATTCCAAAATGTTTTGCAAAATCAAAAAAAATTTTTCGAGAATTTCTTTTTTTTTAATTTTTACTGCAACACCCTATTGGCGCAGTTTGCTCAGCAGTGCCAACAGATTACTCAAGTCACAAATACAAACCAATTATAACTTGAAAATTATAAATGTTCATCACTATTTATGTCTTCTTCTGTAATACTTTTAACAAATTTTGCTTATTTTTATTTTAAACATTTCATCATCAGCCAAAAGGCTATCAAATTTCAATGTTTTCCCTATAATTTTTTAATTACAAAGTTTATTTCTTCAATTAATAGTTTGAAAAATAAAAATTCTTGGGGTCATTCCATTTTATTTCACCTATACTCGTTGCGGCCTATTTTTCGAAAAATCTGATATTTCGTAATAATGACTTTCAATATCCGTACAATTCATTTTTAACAATTATTTTATGAAATTTTTTTTATTTACGTTGGAATTTAGTTTTTAAGTTCAGTTGCACGGAAAATAGGTTAGTCTGACAGCTTTGAAAATTGAATAAAAAAGAACAGAAATAAAAAAAAAATAAAATCAGATGAAATCCTGAAAAGTTCAACATTCAAGGTAAAATTTCTCATATTTCTGCATTATAAAATTAAAAAGCCAACATATCATGTGAAAGTACATTGAAAGTACTTACTATTATGTAGTAGTAAATTTAATAATATTTGTAAACTTTCTTGGAAAATGTAAATAAAATGTGATAAATTTTGACATTTTACAGGTAAGTTTGAATATTAATTTTCATCTAGTATTGTGGCCTTTTTTACACAATTATCGATTAATATTGGTAAATTGGACTATTTTCAACAAATTTCAATGAAAAAAAATTTAGTAAATATATTATTTCTGTTCTTTTTTATTCAATTTTCAAAGCTGTCAGACTAACCTATTTTCCGTGCAACTCAACTTAAAAACTAAATAAAAAAAATTTCATAAAATAATTGTTAAAAATGAATTGTATGGATATTGAAAGTCATTATTACGAAATATCAGATTTTTCGAAAAATAGGCCGCAACGAGTATAGGTGAAATAAAATGGAATGACCCCTTGGATTTTACACCCCAAACACAACAAAATCACCAATTAAAAAAAAAATCTACACTACCAACAGAAAATTTTCGGTACGGCTGACGTGCGAGGAGTAGAAACTTGCTGCTGATTTTAAAACAAGATATTTTAAATTAGAAAAAAGTTAGAGACTTCTAGTTTAGATGGTTGGAAAGTTGATAAAATGCTGCGTCTGAAGGTATATAACATTAGTACAAAAGTAGTAAAATTGCATAATTTTTTTTGAAATCTTTTCAGTGTTATAAATATAAAAAAAAGTAATAAATTTCTACTCTTCGCACGTCAGCCGTACCGAAATTTTCCGACGGTAGTGTATTTTTCGTTAGTGCTCCATGTTATGGAACGTCCCAATTGGCAAAATACACATTTCATTTACACCAAGTCGAAAGTAGGTATAAATGAAATTTTTTTTGTTAGTTAAATAACTTTTATGAACAGTACAGAATATAAGTATCTCGCATACTTCAAACCAAAACTACTTAAGTTTGAGGTAACTCTTTGTAATCACTTAAGTCTACTTTTTTGAGTTTCGAAAAAAATACAAATAAGAATAAGATATTCATTAATCTCTCAATTACATCACTTCCATTTTTTGATAAAATGTTTCTATATAAGTTTCTACTTAAGTAGTGTTGATCCGTAGTATACGAGATACGTACATTCTGTACTTCTCATAAACGTTAATAATTTCCGAAAAAATCTCACAAATTAAGTACATTTTAAACAAAACACTTAATTTACGTAACTTCTAAAATATTTTCACTTATACGTACATTCGACTTGGGGTGTACGATTTACGAAAAATACTAACGTTCTTCAAATGCATTTTCAATTTCAATAATTTCTTCTACTTCTCCTCCACCTTCTTCTCCTTCTCCTTCTTCTTCTTCTTCTCTAAAATATTCGATTTCTTCTCTTCGACAATAAAATTTAAAGAATTCAATCCTTTTTTCAATTACATTATAACTTATTAATTGTAAAAATTCTAAAATTGTGATTTTTTCATCAGCTAAATCAGCCCAATAGGTTTTTAATTCTTTCAATTTCGTTTTTGAATAAATTTTTGATGATTGTACTCCTTTTTCTAATTCACCACCTACAATACGCTCGTGGTCTGTATAAATGCGGGACTGCAAAGCAACCATCAATTCTAAAATTTAGAAACAAAAAGAATTAAACTTTTTAAAAAATAAAATAATTTTTAAGTATCAAACGAATGTCATAGGAATATTCTAGCTTCATATTCAAACAGTATTCTGTGCTGCTTGGGTTTGTATAATAATAAAAAATAAACTTTAGTAATTTCGAAAAAAAAGTACTAAGATTAAAAAATGCTTTTAGTAAAACAATGCTGAAAAAAGTAGACAAACAGTAATAAAACTTAATAAAAATATCAAATAGAGACTCTTAGTAGATAAGTACGAAAAGTGGGAAAGTGATTCAAAAAGTGTTAAATTTTTCATTTTTCACTTACTTGTGAACTTCCAAATTTCGATTTCTTCGCCGACCTTTGATTTCAATCTGCTTGCATACATTTGAAAATTGTCCGTTATACGTACATTTTTTTGGAATACTGTAAAATTATTGGGTTCTTGCAACCAGTTTCTTTCAAAGTAGGTCAGGAAACGTTCGAGGTTATGATCTACATTTAAATTGGCATCATTTCTTATTCTGTTAAAAGCCTCTGGAATTAGTCGATCCGGTAACAATGGCAGTGCCAAAATAAAAAATAAAGTTCTCTTGATTTCATTATCGTCGTTTCTAAAATATTCGACTAATTGAAAAGTTTTCATTTTCCGAAACAGCTGTAATATAAAATGGTGAAGACTCAGGGATACTTCAGATTCAGGAAAAATTTGTTGTATTGCTCCTTTTAAATTTTCGTCATTGGAAGTGATTGCTTTATGGATTTGGAGTTCAGGAAATTGAGTTTTTAATTTTTGAAAGGATTGAGTATATGCGTCTCTTGTCGTTGAATTCATTAATATCCAGGCACATGGTATAGTCTATATAGAAGATTATTTTTTGTAATATATATATATATATGTATAAAGAGATAGTTGGGAATTTCAAAAGGGGCTCAACTATGAAGATCGTTTGTAATTTTTGAAAGCATTTATTATGAAAAATGTTACTAACGGTTCTCAAAGTTGAGCTCTTTTCAAAAGTCACTATTCTATTACTATTTATATTATTATTATTTATTTATATTTTTAAAAGTTTATTGAAATAATGTAGTATGGTAGTGTTTTCCTTTAAGCTAAATCATCTTTAATAAATTTATTGACAATCTAGACAAATCTTTTAGGAAAAAGAATGTTTGATGTACTATCGCATTAGGTCCTTTTCCAATAAGCTTTGGATTCAAAATATTTACATAACTCTACGCAAATGATATTGCCGAAAATGTAGAGATTTAAAAAACGTAATGAAAACATTAGAAAAATTGGACAATTTAAAACAATTTGGATGTAAATTGTACCAAGACAATTTAAAGGAAAGGAAATTGAAGAATTATGGGAATTTAAATATTTTGGTTTTTAGTTTATTACAATAAGTAGTTTTATCATGAATTTAAAGGGATTGTGAAGTAGGATACAACAATTGGTCAATGAAGTGAGTGGTTTTTCAATTTGAGAAAAAATTCTCAATTTAAAAGAAAAGAGTTGTAATAGAAGTGTTTAATGGAAAAAGTATAGAATGGAAATTCATCCACTATTAAAGTTTAAATAATATATTTTTGTATATTATATTGTTTGCTGTATTTTAATTTAGTTTAATTTTATAATATTATAGCTTAAACTTTAATGACAAAGGCATTATTCGATATAAAATATATTATTAAGGGGTTAAACCACTCTAGAGCGTCAAAAAAAGGCCTAACTTTAGAAATTTTTTTCAAGAAAAGTTTAAATGTACTGAAAAATATGTTTACATATCTTTATTAGGTACACTTTAAAGAGAAAAAAAATATACTTCATTAATTTTTTTTTTAAAATATCAAATTTACAGGTACGTGATAGGAACCCTTTCTGAGAGGAATCACGTCGCGGCCGGAAAGGTTTTAGCTCAAATTTTCATCCTAGAACAAAAAACAAATTTCTTTCTATTTTTACATCTTAAAAGCTAGAGAAAGACGTAGGGGATTTTTTTTCAATTGATTTTTGCAAAAATGGCGAACATTTTAAGGAAAAACCGAGTTTTTTACTTAAAAAATTGACACTAAATTGTTTATAACAAATAAAATATGCAACATAAAAAAAATCCGTACGTCTTTCTCTAGCTTTTAAGATGTAAAAATAGAAAGAAATTTGTTTTTTGTTCGAGGATGAAAATTGGAGCTAAAACCTTTCCGGCCGCGAAGTGATTCCTCTCAGAAAGTGTTCCTATCACGTACCTGTAAAGATATTGAAAAAAAAAAATTAATGAAGTATATTTTTTTTCTCTTTAAAGTATACCTAATAAAGATATGTAAACATATTTTTCAGTACAGTTAAACTTTTCTTGAAAAAAATTTCTAAAGTTAGACCTTTTTTTGACGCTCTAGAGTGGTTTAACCCCTTAATAAGAAGAATAAGTGAGTAAATTCTATTTTATGCTACTTTGAAAGTTTCATATTATACTTGCATGATTATTTTTTAAACACAATAGAGACATTAACTGAATGCAGCCAATTCCTGCAGGAATAGTTTGTGACGATATGTCAATAAGAAAAACATGATTTTGTGTTAAAGTATTGAAAAAATTGCTGTCCACTATTATTGCCGATGTTACTACATCATTTTCCTGTACTAGGGTAAAAGATAATGAGTATTCTAAATATTGTCTCTTGTGACTCCATTCATCACTGCTAGCAATTTCGACGTATTCACGTAAGTTGGTAACATTTGGAGGAATGTCATTTTTATTCCATCTATACATGGATGATTTCATTCTGCGCAGTGGCATTCCTTGTAATGCTCTTGGGTGACTGTAAAAAAATTAAGAGAGCGGTTATACTTCACTTGCATTCCAATGATCGTCATATTAACGTTCAAAAGTAAGAAAAACAAGAGCATTCTCAGTTTTTCTCACTAATAAACGTTATTATAAATATCATGGGTATGCAAGTGAAGTATAACCGCGCTTTTTATAAATTTTAAATTGACATATTAAGATTTTTAGAGTTTACTTTCAGGATTTTGTTATATGTACTATTTACCAATTTTGTTTCAATTTCATCATGAAAAAATTGAGAAGGTAATCTAAAAATACATTAGTGACTATGTGTTTTTCTTCATTATATTTGACAAATTTAATTTCATATAGAAATTGATTAAAAAATTTGTTTTTGCAAAATATAAATCAGTAACTCGATTATACCTTAAAATTAATTTTACCTAAATCAAATTTAAAAAAATTAATTCATCAAATTTTATACAGAAAAAAAGTTTCGGCCTCAGGATTTGCGAATTTTACTTTTAGTATAAAAGTCAAACAACTTATCGTCGCAATTATATAGGGTGTCCCATTCATTGGTGTATATATTAAAGGTATATATTCTTCGGAAAAAAATAAGACAAAAAGTTTTCTACAGTTTTTCAAAATTGGTTGCCTAAATTGAAACTGAAAAATTACGCGTGGTGATTGGCCACGCGAGCTTAGTGGGCCGCTGGGCGGGGCATAGCGCGTTCGAACTTTTCTGATTTTCCAAGCGTGGGCATGTAGAGTTTACCCGATTACTTAAAATAATCCTCAGAATAATACACACATTATGTATTTTTCATAGGTATATTTTAACTAATCTTTTTTTCCTTAGAAAAATACATAATGTATATATTATTCTGAGGATTATTTTAAGTAATCGGGTAAACTCTATATGCTCACGCTTGGAAAATTAGACAAGTTCCGGAGCGCTATGCCCCGCCCAGCGGCCCACTGAGCTCGCGCGGCCAATCACCACGAGTAATTTTTAAATTTTCAATTGCAATTTACGCAAAAACTACAAAATTTTTTAAAAAACTGTAGCGTGTTATTGTCAGCGATTATTCTTTTGGTAACTAAAAAAAATCATTTAAAAAAAAATTAATATTTTTTAACCTAAGAACCATTTTTTCAAAAAATGGCACAATAGAGACAATAATTAAACGCAGACAAATCCTGTACGAATAGTTTGTGACGATAAGTCAATAAGAAAAACATGAGTTTGCGTTGGGGTACGGTCATAATATCTCATGCATGCACGGTGCATACATACAGAAACATTTAGCCGGTCACACTTCAACAAAATCTAGTAAATGTTTAGTAACTTTCTAGTTGCAACCTAAATTTTTGGAAAATTACTAAAAAGTTACTAAACATTCACTAGATTTTGTTGAAGTGTGACCGGCCAAATGTTTCTGCATACATGCACAGTGCATGCATGAGATAGTGTGCCCGTACCCTTAAAGTATAAAAAAAATCTCTGTCAACTATTATTGCCGATGTTACTACATCATTTTTTTCCTGTACTAGGGTAAAAGATAATGAGTTTTCTAAATATTGTCTCTTGTGACTCCATTCATCGAACTGCTAGCAATTTCGACGTATTCACGTAAGTTGGTAACATTTGGAGGAATGTCATGTTTATTTATACGGATAAAAACAATAGAAATAAGAGCATTTTTTGTTTTTTTCAGTAATAAACGTTACTAAAATTTTAGTGTGTATGCAACTAAAGTATAATCGTGACCTTTGTAAATTTTTAATTGAATTTATATGATTTTTTGATTTTAACCCTGTTTATTGCGAAATACTACTATTTGTCAATTGTGTTTTAATTTTCTTATGAAAGAAGTAAGAAAGTAAAGTAAAAATATCATATTAGTGACATCTATAAATTAAAAAGAATACATAAACTTGCATCTTAAATAGAAGTGGCTATTTGTCTTTTTTATATTCAAATTTTTCATCTTTAGACAAAGTTTTATATGAAAACGGTAAAGATATCGTGAAATGTGATATATTTTGATTTCCTATCAGTTTGTTTTACCCTTCGCATTATCTAAAATATTTATATACCAGAAGAATTTAATTTTTTTCTAAAACATTATTTGTTCTCCTGTTTAACCAGATCACACTAAAAAACTTAGGCCCAACCGTTTTGAAGCAAATAATTCTCTTAATATTGAAGAAATTCAGTTTTAATCAGGTTGTTACTCTTTATATTATGCAAAAGTACAAATAAACTGATCGAAAAACAAAAAGTTTTAGAAATTTAATAAGTAAATTATTCTATGATTTTATTTTGAATTTCGTAATATCTCTTTTCTTCGACAATAAAATTTAATGAATTTAATCCTTTTTTTGACAACATTGTGAATCATCAATTATAAAAAATCTAAGACTGTAATTATTTTATCATTACGCCTCTCGTTCATAAAATGCTAATATAAATGTCAAAGCAAAAAAATTCTAATTAAAGTACAAGTGTAATACAATTTTTACAAAAAAAAAAAAATTGTTTAATCTTTGATATTTATGTTGGCATTTTATGAACGGGAGGCGTCGATCAATTAAATCAATCCAATTACTTTTTAATTTTTCCGATTTCGTAATTAAACAAATTTTAGGGGATTTGACTCCTTTTTCTAATTGACTGTCTACAATACGCTCATGGTCTGTATAAACATTTGAAAATTATCCGTTATTCGTACAAATTTTTGGAATACTGAAAAGGTATTGGGTTCTTGCAATCAGTCTGTTTCAAAGTAGGTCAGGAAACGTTGAATGTCTGTATCTACATTTAAATTAACATTATTTCTTATTCTGTTAAAAGCCTCTGGAATTTGTCGAGCCGGTAATAATGGCAGTGCCAAAATAAAAAATAAAGTTTTCTTGATTTCATTATCGTCGTTTCTAAAATATTCGACTAATTCAAAAGTTTTCATTTTCCGAAACAGCTGTAATATAAAATGGTGAAGATTCAGGGATACTTCAGATTCAGGAAAAATTTGTTGTATTGCTACTTTTAAATTCTCGTCATTAGAAGTGATTGCTCTATGGATTAGGAGTTCAGAAAATTGTCTTTTTAATTCTTCAAAGGATTTAGTATATATGCGTCTCTTGTCGTTGAATTTATTAAAATCCAGGCACATGGTATCGTCTATGTAAAAGATTATTTTTTGTAATATGTATATATGTAACAAGAGATAGTATATGTAATTGTAAAGAAACGCACATACATACTCTTGATACATACTATGTATAATTGATTGTAATTGACCGCGCGAGCTCAGTGGGCCGCTGGGCGGGGCATAGCGCGTCGGAACCGTTCGGATTTTCCAAGCGTGGGCATGTAGAGTTTACCTGATTACTTGAAATAATCCTCTGAAAAATATATACGTTATGTATTTTTCAGAGGTATATTTTAACTAATCTTTTTTTCCTTAGAAAAATACATAATGTATGTATTACTGTGAGGATTATTTCAAGTAATCGGGTAAACTCTACATGCTCACGCTTGGAAAATCAGACAAATTAGGGGGCGCTATGCCCCGCCCAGCGGCCCACTGAGATCGCACGGCCAATCACCACGCGTAATTTTTAAATTTTCAATTGCAATATACGCAAAAACTATAAAAAGTTTAGAAAAACTGTAGCATGTTATTGTCAGCAATTATTCATTTGGTAACTAAAAAAAATCATTAAAAAAAAATTAATATTTTTTAACCTAAGAACCCTTTTTTCAAAAACTGTCATAATGGAGACATTAATTAAACGCAGCCAAATCCTGTAGGAATTGTTTGTGACGATATGTCATTAAGAAAAACATAAGTTTGCGTTAGGGTACGGTCATAATATCTCATGCATGCACTGTGCATACATACAGAAACATTTGGCCGGTCACACTTCAACAAAATCTAGTAAATGTTTAGTAACTTTCTAGTTGCAACCTAAATTTTTGGAAAATTACTAGAATGATACTAAACATTCACTAGATTTCGTTGAAGTGTGACCGGCCAAATGTTTCTGCATACATGCACAGTGCATGCATGAGATAGTGTGACCGTACACTTAAAGTATTAAAAAAAATCTCTGTCAACTATTATTGCCGATGTTACTATATCATTTTTTACCTGTACTAGGGTAAAAGATAATGGGTTTTCTAAATATTGTCTCTTGTGACTCCATTCATCGAACTGTTAGCAATTTCGACGTATTCACGTAAGTTGGTAACATTTGGAGGAATGTCATGTTTATTTATACGGATAAAAACAATAGAAATAAGAGCATTTTTTGTTTTTTTCAGTAATAAACGTTACTAAAATTTTTTTGTGTATGCAACTAAAGTATAATCGTGACCTTTGTAAATTTTTAATTGAATTTATATGATTTTTTGATTTTAACCTTGTTTATTGCGATATACTACTATTCGTCAATTGTGTTTTAATTTTCTTATGAAAGAAGTAAGAAAGTAAAGTAAAAATAACATTAGTGACATCCATAAATTAAAAAGAATACATAAACTTGCATCTTAAATAGAAGTGGCTATTTGTACAAAAGTAGAAAATCAACTGATCGAAAAACAAAAAGTTTTAGAAATATAATAAGTAAATTATTCTATGATTTTATTTTGAATTTCGTAATATCACTTTTCTTCGACAATAAAATTTAATGAAATCAATCCATTTTTTTGACAACATTGAGACTCATCAATTGTAAAAATTCTAAGACTGTAATTATTTTATCATTACGCCTCTCGTTCATAAAATGCTAATATAAATGTCAAAGCAAAAAAATTCTAATTAAAGTACAAGTGTAATACAATTTTTACAAAAAAAAAAAAAATTGTTTAATCTTTGATATTTATGTTGGCATTTTATGAACGGGAGGCGTCGATCAATTAAATCAATCCAATTACTTTTTAATTTTTCCGATTTCGTAATTAAACAAATTTTAGGGGATTTGACTCCTTTTTCTAATTGACTGTCTACAATACGCTCATGGTCTGTATAAACATTTGAAAATTATCCGTTATTCGTACAAATTTTTGGAATACTGAAAAGGTATTGGGTTCTTGCAATCAGTCTGTTTCAAAGTAGGTCAGGAAATGTAGCCGGTAACAAAAAATAAAGTTTTCTTATATGTCATTATGGGAGATACTTGCTTTTCACCTAACGGTCAATACGTCGAACATATAAAATGTCGAAAAGCCAATACATCCAACAGACACAATGTCGAATGGCAAGTTGTTGAATGGACAAAATGTCGAATGTCAAGTTGTTAAATGGACAAAAAGTCGAAAAGCCAAGAAGTCGAGCAGTCAATACATCGAACGGACAAAATATCGAAAAGCCAAGTCGTCTCTAAAATATCTGACTAATTGAAAATTTTACATCTTTCGAAACAGTTGTAATAGAAAATGGTAAAGACTCAGGGATACACTGGAGCCCCCGAACTTTAGTCTACCGAGGTTTAGACTGTGTTTACATCAAGTATGGGCTAGGCAGTAATGGCTGACTTTAAGTTAGAAGCAGTAGCGTCGATGTAAAATGTTCCGTTTTGTGGTTTTGTTTTTTTGTAGTAAATTTTGAAAATGAATCGAAAACGAAAGTACATTTAACGTTTAGCTTATTTATTTAAAAAATAATCTTGTAAAAATTCATTATTTATGTGCTAAAAAATATCAAGTTTTCAATACGCATTGAGCGCCAGTTGTCTTTCATGCACTGTACGTCCCTGAGTGTGTATATTTTCAGGCGTCAAGGTGTCCACTCCAAATGTTAGACACCATGACCGAGCAGTCCAAAGTTATTGCTCTATGGATTAGGAAGTTAGGTAATTGTCTTTTTAATTTGTCAAATGATTTGATATATGCATCTCTTGTCGTTGAATTCATCAAAATCTAGGTACATGGTATCGTCTATATAGGAGATTATTTTTTGTAACATTCATATATGTACCAAGAGATATTATATGCGCTTTTTTTAGTCTCGTAAGTGATTTTTTAAAACTGTTGTTTGCTCCGTTGCGATTTATTTTGAAAATTACCTCTCGATTGTAAAGAAACGCACATACGACTCTTGATACATACTTTGTATAATTGAGTTGAGTATTTCAAAAGGGGCTCTATTATGAAGACCGTTAGTAATTTTTGCTAGCATTTATTATATTTTTGTTAATTTTTATTGGTAAATATATAGTTTAATATTTCATTTCATTCACCAGGTCATGTAGAAGAGCAGCAAGTAAACATGTAAAAAGAATTGGAACAATAATCTTGTACAAGAATATGCATATGTTTATTCATAGTAACTGAAGAAATCAAGTTTACGAGTCCGGGCTAGTGTACTTGAACAAGATCGTTTTTATTTTGCAAAAATAAAAAAATTAACACAAGATTATGTACATGAACTTATGTACGACCTTACACAAATACACGAGCATGGACTCATGCACTTGATTTCTTTAGTTACCATGAATGAACATATGCATGTTCTGGTACAAGATCTTTGTTCCACATTTTTTACATGTTTGCCTGATGCTCTTGTACATGAGTTGGTGAATGAATATGTGCAAGATCTGTGCACGATGTTGCACAAGATCGTGTACATGATTTTGTACAAGTTTTTTTTAACTGCGTTGGTCCTTTTTAGTTCTGTATAAGACTGACGAATTTTTTCTGGTGGCAGAAGAGCCAAATCCATCAATTGTTTGATAGTATGCTTTCCTTTCTCACTTGTTTTAAGATATCGTTTTAATCCGATTGAGAAAAGCGAAGTGAAAAATTCCCGAAAAATTATTATAATTAGATATACCCAAGTTCGAAATACGAGGATTGTCAATCCGGACCAATATTGGCCAAGTAATATCTACTATAGTACTTTAAATGTTTTTAACTCAAATATTTATCAGAATCAATGTGTGTCAGGGCCACATAAAACCAAAATATTGTGTAAATTTGGTATAAATAAATCAATTTTATCTTCGTATAGTGGAAGGAGCACCCATACGCATCGGATTAAGGAAACGTATGGGGAATCAGAACGAAAATTTGCAGGAAACTTGCCGTACAAACATGTAGCAAGTTTGGTTCAACCAACAAAATTTCGTTCTACATCAAGGAAGTTAGGCAAGCTTCCAGAAAACTTGTAAAAAGCTTGCTGCAAGTTCTTATAATATTTGAAAAAAAATTTAGAAATAATTTGTTCCTGAATAAATATAATTATAAAATGAAAATTTGTTGTTGATTGTTTGTCGAAATGATTGATGATGGTTTATTAATAAGGTGACCATCCGTCCCGGATTTCGCGGGACCGTCCCGCATTTGAGCCTCGCGTCCCGCATTGGTTCACGTCCCGCGAAACGTCCCGCATTTTTAGAAAAAGTCCCGCATGTCCCGCAAAATTGTTAAGAATGTACTGCATTCAGAGGTTAGCATAGTAACACATAGGAGTGAGAGAGATGCACCTCAATGGCTATTGCCGTTGTATGCTTTATTTTGCGTTTTTACCGAATATTACGTATTTTGCATTTAGATACAGTTAAGTGAAGTTAATGCAGTTTTCCATCTTCGTTTTCATGTTTATGACTAATTTGTGTTGTTTATTCGTGGTTGTAATCGAAGACATTTATAAATATATAAAAAATATATATTGAGAAATTAAAAGTTTTATTGAGAAAAAATTATATATTATTGAGATTTCTTCAAAAAGCATGAAACGAAAATGTGGTAATAGAAGGAACAATGACGGTCGATCAAAATTACAAAGACAACAAGGTAATATCATAATTATATTTCATAACTGAGATTCCATTATTTGTCAGAAAGTGATTTTTTGATTTTGTTATTTTTTTAAGGGGCAATTTTTTTCAATCAAACAATTAATGGAATTTATCTTATTTTGTTATTTTAAAAAGATAAACTATAAAATTTAGAATATATAAGTTTCAATCCAATTAATGGTTAATTATAAAGTTTGTGGTTATATTACGTGTGCGAATATTCTATTTGGAAATTTTTTGTTTCTTTTAATAGTAATACTATTTTGAACTATGAACAGCAAGTTGCATGACATGTTTCTTTCTAGGCTTTCATGGATTTATAGTTAGAAGATAATAATTACATATAATTATACGGAAATATAGCGGATTAAAATTCTCTCGTTACTCTTCGTCTCTTCTGTCCATATTTATAATAAACCGTGATAATGCCGAACGATAAAGTGCAACCTGTCAAAACTAAACGTTCCTGTAAATTTTCAGAGCAACTGGGTGCGGAATATCTTCATATAAAGAAATTTAAGACGGATTCGCAAATTTTATGTCAAATTTGCCAAAGCGCCTTTACCATTTCCTCAGGCGGAAAAAATGACATTGTCAGACATAATGCTTCGGAAAAGCACAAAAATGCTCTAAAAGAAGCTGCATCTTCCAGTCAGGTAACAGATTTCTTCAAAACAAAGAACGTTTTCGGGTCTAAAGAAAAGGAACTTGCCGCCGCAGAAGCTGTACTTAGTTATCATACTATCACTCACAACCATAGTTTCAGATCAATGGATTGTACTAGTAGACTTGTACAAATTCTTTTCGAAAAAAAATTTGCATGTAAAAGAACAAAGACTGAAGCTATCGTTGTGAATGTTCTAGCACCGCATGCTCAAATGAATTTAAAAACAGAATTGTCGTCTGCGTCTTACGTTTCTATTTATACAGACTCGTCGAATCATAAAGATTTGAAACTTTTTCCAATTCTGGTTAGATATTTCGCTCCAAAAGTGGGAACTCAAATAAAAATTTTAGACCTTGCAGCTCTTCCTGGGGAAACTTCTGACATAATTGTAACGTATTTGCTAGACCGATTAGAGAATCACGAATTAAAAGAAAAATTAGCCGGTTATTGCGCTGACAATACTAACGCTAATTTCGGAGGTCGAGCTAGACAAGGCAAAAACAATGTATTTTTCAAATTGAAAGACAAACTTAGTCAAAATATTATCGGAGTCGGTTGTACTGCACACATCGTACACAATACAGTTAAATCCGCTGCAGATTTGTTACCAATTGATATTGAGAACATTGTAGTCAAAATATATTCGCGCTTTTATATTTATACAGTCAGAGTCGAGTCACTTAAAGAATTTTGCGAAGAAGTTGACATTGAGTATAAGAAGCTTTTAGGGTACAGTAATACTCGTTGGTTAGCTCTTTTACCGGCAGTAGAGCGAATTCTTAAATTGTTTAACGCGTTGAAATCTTATTTTTTGTCTTTAGACAAATGTCCAAATGATATTCGAAATTTTTTTAACGATGAATCGTCCGAGTTATGGTTACTTTTTATTCACAATCAGGCTGCGTTATTTTCTAACACTGTTGTTAATCTCGAAGGACAAAAAGTAACAATTATGGAAACATGTCGAATTATCAATGATTTAAAAAGAAAATTAAGTGACCGGGAAGAAAATGGTTTTCTGCCACTTACGATGCGACAAAAATTGAACTTTTTAATCGAAGAGGGACAAATAAATGAGGAGTGGTTTAAATCGCAAGTAAAATTGTTTTACAACAACTGTCTAAGTTATTTAGATAGTTGGTCTGAAGATGTTCAAATCGGTAATAGCTTTAATTGGGTACTTTTGTCTACAGTTCCGCAATGGGAAGAGGTCTCGGTCACTCATGAAGAAATGGTGCAATCATTTAATCTCGAAATAAACGAAAACGACTTGTTCGACGAATTGTCTTATGTAAAAGAATATGTTTTAAACAAAGTTAATAAGTGGAACGAAAAAAAAATCGCTATTGACCAAAGATGGGTTGAAATATTTCAACACTTTGAATCACAACATGTACCATATGTTAACATTGTTAAACTTGTGGAATATTGCCTATGTCTTCCTGGAACAAATGCTCCTACGGAAAGAGTTTTTTCGGGAATAAATCAAATTTGGACTTCGGAAAAGTCTCAGTTATCCGTTGAAACATTAAAAAATACCCTGTTTGTCAAATATAATTTGGAAGGATCTTGCGAAGAATTTTATAATTTTGTCGAAAGTAAGGAAGACATTCTAAGACAAATTCATTCGTCCGAAAAATACGCGTAATTGTAATTTAAAAAAGTGAGCATAATTAAAGTTTAATTGACATTCAATCTGTATTGTTTCACAATTATTAAATTATTATTTTCCCGCTTTTCCTGTTTGATGACCTTTTTTTTTTTTTTGCTTTTCAGGACAGGGATTTGAGCGTCCCGCATTGGAGCTTTTTAAAAATGGTCACCTTATTTATTAACTATCAGTAAGAAATAGAGAAATTAAACTAACTTATTCAATAAACAAGATCGAGAAGAAGAATCTTTTTATCAAGAAAATTTAAAACTGATGTTATCTTAAGCAAATTTTTTATTTTTATAATATATTTTTTTTTATAAAATGAAAATTCGTTGTTAATTGCATAAGGCTGCAAAAAAAAATCGGTTGTCAGAAGATCGAGGAGTCATTTCCCGTAGTTTTTGGTGCGCTGAATCCGAATCTGGCAATGAAAACCTCCCATCACGTCAGGATTTTGAGAAAAGTGGGGGTTAAAGGTTCCAAAAATCACATTTTTCGCAGTTTTTGAAAATTTCTACAGGGCAAACCTGACGTGCTAGAGACTTGTCTTAGGACTCCAATTAAAGCTTAATCTGTGTTCTTCACAAAGATACAGCGATATTGACAACAACAAATTAAATTAGCTGTCATGAATGATTTTTTTAAGTTGTAAAACTCAAAAATTGACTCACAATGTCCGTAAATACAACTAACCCACTTTTCTCCAAATTCCTGACGTGATGAGAGGTTTTCATTGCCTGATTCGGATTCGAATTCAATCCTTTTTTCAATTATATTATAACTCATCAATTGTAAAAATTCTAAAATTGTGATTTTTTCATCAGCTATATCAGTCCAACAGGTTTTCAATTCTTTCAATTTCGTTTTTGAATAAATTTTGGATGATTGTACTCCTTTTTCTGATTGACCACCTACAATACGCTCGTGGTTTGTATAAATGCGGGACTGCAATGCAAGCATCGATTTTTAAGTTTCACAACTTGAAAAAATCATTTTTGACAGTTGATTAAGACAAGTCTCTAGCTCGTCGGGTTTGCCTGCTAGAAATTTTCAAAAACTGCCAAAAACGAGTATATTGCAAACAAATTTTGTTAATTACAAGGATGAAAATATTAATATTAGTTTTTACTCTCCAACGGAAAACTGATATAAATCTTTAATTTTCAGCACAACTTTATACGTGGCATCAAGAAAAAGCATTTTATTGTCAGCGATTATTATTTTAGTAACTATATAAAAACATTATTGAAAAAAAATTAATGTCATTTTTATTCCATCTATGCATCGGTGACCTCATTCTGCGAAGTGACATTCCTTGTAATGCTTTTGGGTGACTGTACAAAAAATTGAGAGAGCGGTTATACTTTACTTGCATACGCATGGTATTTTTCGAAAAAGTTTTGTATGAATACGATAAAGACCTTTGCATAAACTAGAATATTTATATACAAGAAAAATTTGATTTTTAAAAATTTCATTATTGAAACATAAGCTTTTATTTAAGTTCTTTAAGGGCAAGTCCAACATGTCAAATGTAAACAAACCATGCACATTTTTTCGCACTTCTTATTTGAATAGGAAATGAAAATTTGTTACTTTCTTTGTGAAAATGGTAAATTTAAGTATTAGGCTTGGTTACTATACTTTAATGAACTAATTATTTCAAGAAATAACTATAATTATAATCAAATGAAAAGTACACTGAATTAGCAATTTTTTCAAGGTTTCGAAAAAAAACCATTTGAGTATATCTGAGGCACGGACGTTGAGAACCTAGGTGGGAGAAAGAGTTGAGCCATTGGACGGTCACATCTTGGAGAGGGTAAAATTCTGAAATTTTACCCCTTCTCTCACTTTCTCCCACCTAGGTCCTCAACGTCCGTGCCTCAGATATACTCGAATGCTTAAATTTTTCGTAACCTTGAAAAAATTGCTATTTCAGTGTACTTTTCATTTCACTATAATTATACTTATTTCTTTAAATAATTAGTTCATTAAATATTATTATGTTTAACAATGTTTTCAATTTCTTCTCTTCGACTATAAAATTTAAAGAATACAATCCTTTTTGCAATTATATTACAACTCATCAATTGTAAAAATTCTAAAATTGTGATTTTTTCATCAGCTAAATCAGTCCAATAGGTTTTCAATTCTTTCAATTTCGTTTTTGAATAAATTTTGAATGATTGAACTACTTTCTCTAATTGATCACCTACAGTACGCTCGTGGTCTATATAAATGCGGGACTGTAATGCAAGCATCAATTTTAAAATATAGAAAAAAAAGACGAAAACTTTTTTTTTATAAAATGGATTTATTCTGAAAACTGATAAATAAACGATATTTAAAAAGAAAGAAATATCACGGAAATATTCCTTTGGTATAATAGGAATGTCACAGGAATATTCCAACTTGATATCATCGTAATATTCAGGAAATATTGTGTGCTACTGGGGTTTGTATTATAATAAATAAACTTTAGGTATTTTGAAAAAAATCAAATCCTATAAGATTAAAAAAAGCTTTTAGTAAAACAATGCTGAAGAAAGTAGACAAACAGTAATAAAATTTAATAAAAATATCAAATAGAGAATTTTAGCAGATAAGTACGAAAAGTGGGAAAGTGTTAAATTTTTCATTTTTTACTGACTTGTGAACTTCCAAATTTCGATTTCTTCACGGACCTTTGATTTCAATCTGCTTGCGTACATTTGAAAATTGTCCGTTATACGTACATTTTTTTGGAATACTGTAAAGTTATTGGGTTCTTGCAACCAGTTTCTTTCAAAATAGGTCAGGAAACGTTAAATGTTAAGGTCCAAATTAAAAAAAAATAATTATTACCGGTTCGACAAACACAAGAGGCTATATGAAGCAGCATTATGAATGCAGGAAATTGTCTTTTTAATTCATCAAAGGATTTAACATATGCTTCTTCTGTCGCCGGATTCATTAAAATCCAGGCACAGGGTATCGTCTATATAGAAGATTATTTATAATATGTATAAATGCATCCGAATCTGGCAATGAAAACCTCCCATCACGTCAGGATTTTGAGAAATGTGGGTGTTAATGGTTCCAAAAATCACGTTTTTGGCAGTTTTTGAAAATTTCTACCGGGCAAACCCGACGTGGTAGAGACTTGTCTTAGGACTCCAATTAAAGCTTAATCCGTGTTCTTCACAAAGATATAGCGATATTGACAACAACAATTTAAATTAGCTGTCATGAATGATTTTTTTAAGTTTTAAAACTCAAAAATTGACTCACAATGTCCGTAAATACAACTATTTTAAAAAATAATTGGATTACTCGGGAGTTTTCGGGGTTGCTGATTACGAAACTAATGTCAGTTTTTAAAAATTAAAAATGGCGGATCCAATATGGCAGATGACTTTTTGAAAAATAGATTTAATCAGAGATATTGAATCTGCTACTGTGAATTTTGAAAATCTGACTTTAGATTCGTAATCAGCGACCTCGAGAACCCCCGAGTAACAAGTTCCAAGCGAATCCAATTATTTTTTTAAATAGTTGTATTTACGGACATTGTGAGTTCATTTTTAAGTTTCACAACTTGAAAAAATCATTTTTGACAGTTGATTAAGACAAGTCTCTAGCACGTCGGGTTTGCCTGCTAGAAATTTTCAAAAACTGCCAAAAACGTGATTTTTGGAACCTTTAATTCCCCACTTTTCTCAAAGTCCTGACGTGATGGGAGGTTTTCATTGCCTGATTCGGATTCAGGGCACCAAAAACTACGGGAAATAACTCCTCGATCTCTGACAATCGAAAATTTTTTTTTGCATCCTTGTGTTGTTAGTCGAGATCATTAATAATTTAATATATTCTCATAATCATCATGTACTCTATCCTGCATAAGGGGCATACTTGAAGACTACGGTTTTCTAAATTGTTTTCTTCATAATCTGTTTTACAGTCATCACACACATAAAACTTGTCCACAGGAGACGAAAGTGTGTGTCGATTGATTTACTTTACAAACGCAGCATATGCACGGAGAGACATAGATGGTACGGGATACTATCTAGATAGTATCAGGTATTATATTTGATCTTACATATACGGACAGGATTCTAGATTGTACGGGATACTATACATATTGTACGGAGTACCATCTTGATTGTAAAGTGGGTAACATAACCTCACTTTTTTAACATCTAGATGGTACCGAGTAGCATATAGATTGTACCGGATACCATCTACTTTTTACCATCTTAAGATCATAATTTCTTACCATCTATTTCTCTCCGTGTGGGACTTCCAATTCTTAAATTTTCTGCTCCTTGGTTCATATTTTCCGGTTCGTCAATATTCATATTTTCGGATGGCACTTGCACGATATTAATTTCTATAACAAATTTAAGGATATTCAACCTTTTGACGTAAACTGAAATTAAATATTTTTCATTTCAATTTATAAAGAACAAAAAATATATTTAATATTTATTTTAATCAATTTTAAAAGATCTACTTTTGTACAATTTGACTTTGATTTTACATATTGTTTGAATGGTTTTTTAGAGATAATATTTATTTGTCAAAATTTATTGCATCGAAGATGTTTTTTGTTAGGTTTATGATTTATAGAAATTTTTACAAATTGAGGCGTTCCATTTGATGGAGCACTGACGAAAAATAGATTTTTTTACAATTCGTGATTTTGTTGTGTTTGGGGTGCAAAGTAAGTATTCCAAAATGTTTTGCAAAATTTTCAATTATTTTCAAGATATTTGCAAATAAAGAATGTAGTCACTTTTTTTCAAGAATTTTTAAATTTCAAACTATTGATTGACTCAAGTCACCAATACAAGCCAATTATAACTTGAAAATTATAAATGTACATCACTATTTATGCCTTCTTGTGCAATATTTTCATCAATATTGCTTATTTTTATAAACATTTCCGTATCAGCCGAAAGGCTATCAAATTTCAATGTTTTCCCTATAATTTTTTAATGACAAAGTTTTTTTCACCAATCAATAGTTTGAAAAATAAAAATTCTTGAAAAAAAATAATAAATATGAAGGGCACCCTGTTTTGAAGGTTAAAAAATTTTTGTGTAGCCGTAGGAGTTGCTGTTTACAATGACGCAACGTGTTAAGTACATTTTGTTGCATGCACTGCAATCATGTACAATTTGTTTGATAAGCTTTCTGCAAGTTTTCGTGCTGATTGGGAAATGCAACTAAATTGTATTTTGCAAAGCTGTCTCAAAATCTGACAAGGCTGATGTCACATTTAAATTTGGAAGTATTCTCCGTATCTAATATAACACCGACACGTATATGTCGTTTCTGATTTACTCTTCTTTAAGGCATCTGAGATTGTAAAGTCGTGTATATTGCAAACAAATTTTGTTAATTACAAGGATGAAAATATTAATATTAGTTTTTACTCTCCAACGGAAAACTGATATAAATCTTTAATTTTCAGCACAACTTTATACGTGGCATCAAGAAAAAGCATTTTATTGTCAGCGATTATTATTTTAGTAACTATATAAAAACATTATTAAAAAAAAATTAATGTCATTTTTATTCCATCTATACATCGGTGACCTCATTCTGCGAAGTGACATTCCTTGTAATGCTTTTGGGTGACTGTACAAAAAATTGAGAGAGCGGTTATACTTTACTTGCATACGCATGGTATTTTTCGAAAAAGTTTTGTATGAAAACGATAAAGACCTTTGCATAAACTAGAATATTTATATACAAGAAAAATTTGATTTTTAAAAATTTCATTATTGAAACATAAGCTTTTATTTAAGTTCTTTAAGGGCAAGTCCAACATGTCAAATGTAAACAAACCATGCACATTTTTTCGCACTTCTTATTTGAATAGGAAATGAAAATTTGTTACTTTCTTTGTGAAAATGGTAAATTTAAGTATTAGGCTTGGTTACTATACTTTAATGAACTAATTATTTCAAGAAATAACTATAATTATAATCAAATGAAAAGTACACTGAATTAGCAATTTTTTCAAGGTTTCGAAAAAAAACCATTTGAGTATATCTGAGGCACGGACGTTGAGAACCTAGGTGGGAGAAAGAGTTGAGCCATTGGACGGTCACATCTTGGAGAGGGTAAAATTCTGAAATTTTACCCCTTCTCTCACTTTCTCCCACCTAGGTCCTCAACGTCCGTGCCTCAGATATACTCGAATGCTTAAATTTTTCGTAACCTTGAAAAAATTGCTATTTCAGTGTACTTTTCATTTCACTATAATTATACTTATTTCTTTAAATAATTAGTTCATTAAATATTATTATGTTTAACAATGTTTTCAATTTCTTCTCTTCGACTATAAAATTTAAAGAATACAATCCTTTTTGCAATTATATTACAACTCATCAATTGTAAAAATTCTAAAATTGTGATTTTTTCATCAGCTAAATCAGTCCAATAGGTTTTCAATTCTTTCAATTTCGTTTTTGAATAAATTTTGAATGATTGAACTACTTTCTCTAATTGATCACCTACAGTACGCTCGTGGTCTATATAAATGCGGGACTGTAATGCAAGCATCAATTTTAAAATATAGAAAAAAAAGACGAAAACTTTTTTTTTATAAAATGGATTTATTCTGAAAACTGATAAATAAACGATATTTAAAAAGAAAGAAATATCAC